AACTTGGGCTTACAGTTTCCAAGTTATTTGCTTTTCCATTTTGGTATGCGAAATAGGCAAGGATTACCCAAAATGAGGTGGATATAAAGAGGCTAGACTATGTAAATATACTAGTCTGCTTTGGGTAACAGTAGCTTGTTTGACATTGCCATGACAACATACATGTAATTTCCATCAACTTGTTTTGATTAGGCCTCAAAATGATTAAATAAAAATCCAAATATATGTAATAGTAAAATACAAAAAAGTCAAAATAATTTGCTAAAGCATTCATAATAGATTTTGCAATGTCATTTTAATACTTTTTTAAAATTCTCCCTCTTGCCACTAGAGGGTGCGGCAGCAGTCTGTCACTGAAGAAGCTTTCCAATTCAGCAACAGCTTCATGCATGGGGTAGTAGATATGAGTTATTTTAGTTAGGGTCCTTTTGTTTCCCACCTCCTGCACTGAGTCCAGAGAGCAGTCAATCACAGAGCTCTCCTTCTTGATTAGCTTATTCAGCTGTTTCCTCTCAGCTAGGCCACTGCTTCAACAGACAGCTCAATAGAAGATGACTGATGCCACAACAGAGTCAAAAAAGGTCTTCAGGAATGCACCCTGCACACCAAAAGACCTCAGTCTCCTCAGCAGGAAGAGTCTGCCCTGACCTTTCTTATTCAGAGCCTCAATGTTGTGAGTCCAGTCCAGTTTGTTATTCAGGTGAACACCTAGGTACTTATAAGAGTCCACTATGTCAATGTCTGTTCCCTTGATGTTCACCGGTGTCGGTGAGGTGGATCTACTTCTGTGAAAATCCACCACCAGCTCCTTGGTTTTCCCTGCATTAATCAAGAGTTGGTTCTGCTGACACCAGCCCACGAAGTCCTGGGTCCACTGTCTGTACTCTGAGTCTTACCCACCTGAGATGAGGCCAACTATGGCAGAAGATTCAGAGAACTTCCGGAGTGGCAGCGTGGGGAGTTGATTTAGAAGACTGCAGTGTAGAGGGTGAATAGGAATGGTGCCAGCACTGTTCCCTGTGGGACCCCTGTAATGCAGACCAACTTATCTGAGACACAGCCCTTGCATACTGTGCATGGCCAGTGAGGTAGTCCAATATCCACTGGGACATGAGCTGGTCCACTCCTGACAGCTCCAGCTTGTCCCTTACGAGTACTGGCTGGATGGTGTTGAAAGCACTAGAGAAATTAAAGACCATGATTCTCACAGTGCTTCCAGGTTTTTAGAAGTGAGCCACAACTTTGTGTAGGAGAAAGATGATGGCATCATCTGCCCCATCCCAGGCCTGTAGGGAACCTGCAGTATATCCATTGAAGTCCTCAACAGGGGGGCATAGACAGAACTCTGGTTGAGGGGGGATGAAGGGGGATAGCAACCCTCTTCTTAAATGATCATCCCCCATACCATCCCCAGTGACATTTTATTACTGAATGTGTAAAATGTCTACTATATATTAATAGCAATGCCAATAATATTGCCCTTTCAATATCTGGCGGGCTGTGGGCTCACGGATAGCCTGAGGAAAATAAATAAAATCAAAGAATTGGCCTACCATGACTATGAAGCTGATCTCACTGGAAAATTGTCCTCTGCATTTGTCCCTAACTATGTAGGGGCAGTGATAGCCATGGCAGTCCTGGCCTGGGACTGACTGCAGTTCTACAGTAAAGTGCCAAGGTCAAGGTCAATGACCGCCGTACCAGACATGCTGCATGCATCAACAATACCATGCATATTGCTTTAGGTTAATAGACTATATTAATTAGGCTATGTATGCTTCTGAAAATAAATAAGTAAATAAATAAATAAATTTCGCTCCCCCCTTATTTTCTTTTTTTTTGCAACTAGATTACTGGGCATAGATGGTGTAAGTCCAACAGTTCGAGAGTCTTCATCAGGTGTGGAGTCAGTGCTATTCGGCTGACTGGTAGCTGCTGGTCCTTTGGATGTTGTGTCTTTGGCACCGGTACCACACAAGAGGTCTCCCACAGTTGTGGTCCTTCTCCCAGCCTTCGGCTTAAATTGTGGCACAAGATGTTGCACAACTGTCAACCCATTTTTTTAGTGTCATAATTATGACATTGTTTAAAGAAAATATTTTAAGAAGCGTACATGTTTATAACCAGGTTTACATACAGAATTTAATATGTTCTGTAAATAACCTTAACCTTTTTCTTTTTGCAACAAATGGAGTTGAGTTTTGTTTCATTGGTTTTCTACACATTTTTTCTTTCACAATGTCAACAACTTCCGGTTTGAGCTAAGTGCTTTTATTTTGTTAAGCTTTTGTGTTTCCGGTCTCGCGCGACCTAGTGTCAGTTAGCTTGTTCTCTCATAAGTACGGCATTAAAGGGATAGTTCGGGATTTTTGACATGAATCTGTATGGCATCCCCATCACCAGTGTCATGCAATCACACTGACTTACCCCTGGCAGCGTCCTGTGAGCAGAGTTCTCGTCCAGCTTTGGTCAAGCCGAAAGTAGTCCGGCAGGTTTGCTAGACCCAGTGAAATAAAACGTTTCTCTTCCCAAAACATGTGTTCAAAAG